AACAAAGAAAACTAACATTGGTATGTGATTAAAATAATATGCGAACAAATTTTATTGTTTTATTAAGAAATCATCATGATATATTTTAAATAATGATTTTGATTAATTTAAAATTAAATTTCGTAACTCATCGTTTAAAATAATCATAACTATATAAGTTTGCAAGGTTTACCTTGCAAACTTATACATTTATGTTAAGAACAAAATCTGAAATCTTTGGGTGAACTAAAATCGTTTCAGCAAAGATTTCGGACCTTGTTCTTAGAATAAGGTTCCGAAATCTTTGCTGAAATCCTTATTATGTCTGTTATTGTTATCGGTTTTTACTTTGAATAATCTTTTAATTAAACTTAAAAATGGAAACCCAAAAAGTCTAAACCAAAAAAAGAAAACCTAAGTCGACATAGGCTGTATGGGCTTTGTTCCGTATGCCTATTCATATATAAAAATAAAAAAAAAAGTTTAAAATGTTATAAACAGATAGAGCTTCACAAATCCACAATTTATTTAAAGATATATTTTTGGTAATAAAATTATTTAATAAGAAGTGTCCTATTAAATATTCTTTCTAATGTAAAGCATCAATTCAAAACGAAATCTACTGTTAAAAACAAAGCGCCTAAAAGCAAGACGTCTAAAAACACTTAAAATTTTCTCCAATTAGGATTGTGATATTCGAACCTAAAAGTGAATATTGCAGGACACTGTGGTGTGCCATCTGTATTGGTATAGTGAATATACTAATTGGAGATGCTGTAATGACAGCTCTCTTGTATTCACTTAAAACTGGCGATTCGCACGCCGCTGTATGTGCTTTTGGGGAAAGTGCGTGAAATACTTCGTGATTTGAAGCAGATTACAGGAATTAGTGACATATTATTTATGGAATTCGTAATGATATATAAACTGACGGTCCATATCATGAAAAGTGATAACTGTCATCTATAGACATGATAATACTAATATATACAATATATGTTGTTATGCCCATGCTATGTGTATTCGTTTCCATTCCTGAGGAATGATATGTTGTTACTTCGTAGTTCCATATCTTTTAATTTCACTTTTGTATTAACCAACCTTTTAAATTAAAACAGCTCAATATATTTGCTTTAGCTGTGGTGTGTATCAAACAATTTTTGTATAAAGTTTTTGTCTTTATACAAAGAATTTCAGCATGGTATACCACAGGGTTGTATTTTGGATCCTCTCCATTTTGTAAAACTAATTGATACATGCTAATTGTTTAAATGCTAAATTAGTAACTTTTAAAAAGTAAAAATAAAATATGTTTAGTTTACTTATGCAACCAAAATAACATTTGTAGCTAGTGAGATAGACTTTCGCAAAATAACACCTGATTTAACTAAATGCTAATAGCAGAGCGATATATACGTATTACTAGCGGTGAATTTAGTGCTAAATACGAGTCATCACGACTGCGCCTTTGAAATACATATTAGCACACAATAGGCAGCTTGGTAACAAATCTCAGTGAGCGCAGATTTTATAGTATTCTTAGCACTGGGTAGGATTTATTATTATGGACTCAGATAATTTAAGATCGTACCCAACTTTGTAACTAAACTGATTCTATAGTAAAAAAAATAATATCAAAAACGCATCAGGACTGGCGAAGATGACTGGTGAATTGAAAATTTGATCTTTTTTGTAAAAAGTATTTTTAGTGTTAGTAATAAGGTTACTATTTAGATGTGTACATATTAAAAAGTATTTCAGTATCACTTCTTATCCGCTGAAGCTTTATTAACATCGAATTATGCAATTGGTTGGTCGACACCGATGCGGCTCAAACATCGCAAGTTCACGCATGTGCTCCTGCAGATATGTGCTATGGCTTGAATCATAACTGGAACCATATTTGTAATAGGAAATGGATATTCTGCTATAACACATGGAATTACAGGTCAGGTCTTAAATAATAAATTTGATCACAATACTCGTATCCTGTCATTGGAGGGTAAACACAATGTTACTAACTCTTTAATGGCCGCATTTTTCTACGTCGAGATATAAGAACAGAACAGAACAGAACAGAACAGAACAGAACAGAACAGAACAGAACAGAACAGAACAGAACAGAACAGAACAGAACAGAACAGAACAGAACAGAACAGAACAGAACAGAACAGAACAGAACAGAACAGAACGTAACAGAACAGAACAGAACAGTACAGAGCAGTACAGAGCAGAGCAGAGCAGAGCAGAGCAGAACAGAACAGAGCAGAGCAGAGCAGAGCAGAACAGGACAGAACAGAACAGAACAGCTGTACATTACAAATTTTACGTAAGATGTTATTAACGTCTTAAAGGAAAACAGCCAACCCATACATCGGGCATACAATACATAACATTAATTAAAATAATTACAGTCATACATTAAAATTGTCAATAAAATTGAAAATAAATTAAAACATGTCAATCAATAGTCACAAACTAACTCATGCTCACCATTAGAACATGTTAATTCTGTGCCTCTAGTGAGAAAGGGTATAACTCAAGTTATAGCCTTTTTCTTTTTTAGGCTACTTTAAATAAGCAAATTTTTCTCTTTCGAATGGTATAAGAATCGTAACGATATCTTTAAAAACAATAGAGATATATATTAACAAAATATTTGTGGTAAAAAAGTTATTTAAAACTACAATATTTTACAAAAATTATTTTTGTAAAATGAATCATGAACCCTTTTACACCATTTAATAGCGATTATTTTTTATAGCGTAAAATACACAACATTGTTTTTCTTCAATACTTCAATAAAATAGTTTTAATTCAACTTAAAATTATTTTCACATCATAATTTTAATATTTTTGTTAAGTGTGATTAAAAATAGAATTATTTTTAAAACTATAGGTTTTTTCAAAGAAAGAGGAGAAAAAATTACTATAAATGCAATCATTGACTTGTTTTTTAAAAGCAGCAGAATTTTTTTCTTTATTTAAAATAGTTTTTTGAAAAGTGACCATTTTGAATTGAACCCTTTCTCACTAAGGCACAGAATTATCATCTTATATATTAATTAAATTATTTATAATGTGAATATGTCATTGTCAAAGAGCAAATGATTTTTATATATAATAATTTGAATCTAGTATAAGGCACTCCTTTTAGGTTATTTGGCAAATGATTATATATTTTTATAGCCATTATTCTATTCTATTCTATTCTATTCTATATAACTACTTTTCTTATATATCATTGAGTTAGTTTGCGGTAAATATAAATGATCATATTGTCTCATTGGTACATTTCTAAGACGAACTTCAGATTTCTTTTTAAATAAGTGCATATTGTTTACTACAAATAAGCTGATTTCTAATATATATATATATACATGTCAACGTAAGATATTCTTTATTTTTAAATAATAGTAGTACTGACTCATCACTTTTTTGTATTGTATATGATTCTTAGACAACGCTTTTGCAATAGAAAGGTACTGTTTACGTTGACTGAGTTACCCCATAAGACAATTCCATTATGTTAGTAACGGGTACACATTACCATAGTATGCGTTACGAGCCACATCCACTGATGACACATCGACCAGAACTGATAGAGCATAACAGTAACTGGCAATTTTACTATTGATTTTATCAATATGTGATTTCCAATATTAAGGTTTCTTTAGGGTCGGCAACGCGCGCGTGACAATCCTGGTGTTACAGATGTCCATAGGCTACAATAACCTCGTTTACCATCAGACGTTTACGGGGCGTATGCTTGTTTGCCACCATAGTAGTATAAAAATGAAATAATTTCATTTTCATCCAACGAAAAGAAACTTTATATCTAGGGAAAGATTACAGGCATAAGTGGGTGCGTGATCAAATTTAACTTAACCGTCACGTATCCGGGTCTCTAAATAGAAAGTGTATGACATATTAGCAGCCTATTTAGTTTCACTGTCAAGCACCTGTCGATACACTTGTATCTCACGACATGTTAATGGCCGATTTCATTTCTCCGTCAAGTGCCTACGCGTCGGGCTTCTTATCAGCAAGTGATGATAGTCACGTATTATTTGATATTGTACGATCAGATATAATTTTATCTAATTTTATATCTTAATCTTTACTCGTAGATTAATTTTTAAGTTATTAATCTGTAATAGTTTAGTAGGTCATTCTATTTCTTCAGGTGCTTTAATTATTTAGCCATTCTGTTTACCATCCGCAGGCAGGCCTAGTAGTGGAGTTTTATTGAGTTGTTATAATTTTTTTTTAATGGTTCAACCATGGAATGTTTACCCCGCCTGTGCTATCGGTAAACACCGACAGGGCACCAGTGGAAGATGATAGGTGAGAATGAATGTAGGTGAGATGGCCCACTGCGATGAATTCCACAAGAATTAACCATGATGGTTTCCAGGGGGAACCGCGTGGAGGTCGACCTGAGAGAGTATACTGCAAGCAATGGGGCTAGTGGGGGTAGGTATTGTTAGTCCACATTACTAATAATCCCTTCCCCCCTCTACCCCTCTATATAATTATTATGAAAATGTAACTAAATAATGTGACATGGAGATTTTTAAGAAAAAAGTGTATCAATATCAAGAGCAATAGAAACCAAAATTCAAATTTTTTTAAATCTTATCTATCTGTCTGTTTGTTCAGAAATCACAGAAAGACTACTATATCAATCTTTTGGAAGAAACAATAAAAGAGTATCTATCTATCTATCTATCTATTTGTGTGCGGTTTTCACAGTTACATTCTTGGACGAATCACTTTTATTTATTGTATATTTTCTCTTGAAACGCTATTTTAAAGTAAAACGGGTTTACAACAAGCACGTGACACCCCTAGTGTTGCAGGCGTCCATAGGCTGCAGTAACCATTTACCATCAAACAGGCTGTATGCTTATTTGATACCTTCGTGCTATAAAAAAAATGCATTTTATTAGGTCAAAATCTACGCGTTTAATATTCGCGTGAGAACTACCAGAGGGAGACTTTGTACAAAAGTCGATTGCTTGGGTACCTCTGTCCCATTCGTGTTTCTACCGTGAAGCAGTTGTGCTTGCATGGCTGTGTTTCGGTTTGAAGGGTGGGATATGGCGTGAATTTATAGGGTACAGAGGAATAACACCTGAATCCTCAGGACTGGCAACGCATGGGGGGTATCATGGGCGAAACAGTATGTGTGTGTACTGTTATGTCCATGGTACTGCTCATGTGTATAAGCGACGGTTACCACTTTCCATCAGGTGGGCCGTCAGCTCGTTTGCCATTCTAAGTCGTATAAAAAACAAAGAAGTCTAGTTAGTTTTCCCTTCATTTTATTCAAGCGGGCGGAGCCATTGGGATATAGCTAGTTAAATATTGACTATTTATCTTGAATTGTACACAGCACAAGAGATACAAATATCAAAGCGCACGGCAAAAGGTCCCCTGGCGGTCGATTTGTAGCATGCATCAAATATACGACCGAATGTCTCTTTATATTGGTGATCACAATACACTATTGCAGCGGAATCGAACCCCATTACTCTTGCCTCCTGTCCTTTATATCCAAGCGCCATAAAGATAAATGCAGTGCATTTTGTATTTGTGCTATTGTTCAGGTAGGAGTATATTGATGGATAAAATAAAACAAACTGGTTTTGTTTCGTAAAAAAAAAAAAAAAACAAAGAAGTTATTTTAGTTCTGATAATATAAATGTGGTAATATAATTCTATGCCGGGACAGCAGGTTGTGTGGTCTCGGTGTAGAATACGCCACCCCTTTCATTCCCGTGGGTGTCGTAAGAGGGGACTAAAGGAAGGCGAGGGATGGGCAGCAGCGTCCTTCTTTTAACGTCTTTAAAGTCTGACTGCGGTTGCAAATCCGCCTTCCAAGCATAGCAGCTACTGGCAAAACCCCCAAAAAAGGTGAGTTATGAACATAACTTACCTGCTGAACAGCAGTGGACAGTTAAAGGCTGATATGAAAAATGCATATAAATTATTATAATGCAGTATGACTCACGATAGTCATTATTTAACAGTGATTAATAATTTGAATGTTCTTCTTCTTTTCATTTAGGCCTCTTGTCGCATTACTAATTCAATCCCTCCCCCTCTATCTCATTCCACAGTGATTAACAATTGTAATGGTCTTATTCTACCTAAAATATAATATATTGTAGGCTTGTATAAAAAGACATGGGGATACTGTTCAGTTGATGTAATACCTTAACTTGTCCTATGATCCAGAAAGACATTTGGATTTGTAAAATAAATTAAACATACTGACGGATCACGAAATGTTGCATAGACAAAATACAAAGCTGGTACATAAATAGCTAAATCCATAGTTTAAAAGTAAATTTTGATCTACGAGAAAATTGTATCATTAAAAGTAATATCATCAAGTATTATAAAAAAATATGGGATTATATCACTACATATTATAAAACGAAGTCCCTCGCTGCATCTGTCTGTCTATATGTTCGCGAGGATCTCAAAAACTTCTGGATAGGATTTTATGCCTTTTTTATTTATAGAGTGTTTACTGAGGAAGGTTCAGGTATATAATTAGTTAAGGTTTGGTATAAATTGGTTGAAGTATGACGATGATTGTTGAAAATGTTGGAAAAAACATCAAGCTTTCATAGAAAAATGCTTAATCTTTTTTAAGATATGACAAAGCAAAGTATGATGGGATTGTTTCCCTTTTACAAAAAATGTCCGCGATAGTATATGTCTACATTTTAAAGATACCTTATTAATAGTATTATATTATCTGTGCTATAACCTTCTAATTTATACTCGACGTAACAACAACTGACGCAAAAATTTTAAGTATATATTCATTACTATTCCATGCGAAGTCGGGGCGGGTCCTTAGTTAATTATATGAAGATTAAAGCTTACTAATAGAACGCAAAAAAATTATCGGAATTTGCTCAAAATTGATCATATAAATAATTGCTCAATTACAAAAAAAATACATATAAATTAACACCTTGTAATTTCAAAATACACTTAAAAAGTATAGGCGAATCGGGAATCCTTTTCAAAGTCTTCATCTTCTATCGGATTTATCATGAGGAGTGCTCTGAGGAATTGTTCCTTGATACCTGCTGCTGATTTTCACCACCGTACAACCCGCCATAAACTAAAATATATATATATATATATATATTTATGCCATGTGTGTGTGTGTGTGTGTGTGTGACGAGTGGCGTGTCCTGCCACTATCTGTGCGTTTTTTTTAAATTTATTTTATTTAAAATATTCAATTTGAATAAATGTGTTATAAAAATGGATAAATCACTTTCTCCCACGCACAACCACTCTTTGGAATCAACTACCAGCAGCAGTATTTCCGAACCGATACGACAACATAACCTTCAAGAAAAGAGCATATTCCTTTTTAAAAGGCCACCAGCACACCTGCAATGCCGTTAATGTTGTCTATTTGATAAATCCTAGTTTAGAATAAGGGTATATTAATTATACCATCATAGAGCTAGTCACGCGATAACGTGGCGAGTAATATTTTTGTATTTTTATCGTTGCATAGAACGTGAGAGATAAACAGCTACAGTGGTTCAGGCACGTACGGGTTATCGTGTAAGTATGCTAATTCTATTGATAAACACAGTAATTACATTTTTAGGGTACCGTGTTATAAAATAATGATTTTTTTTTACAACACAGGGGGCATGCGGCTCACCTGATGGTAAGTGACTACCGCCGCCCAGATCACCCACAACACCAACGGCATTGCAGGTGTGCTGTCGGCCTTTTAAAAAGGAATATGCTCTTTTCTTGAAGGTTGTGTTGTCGGTTCGGAAATACTGCTGCTGGAAGTTGACTCCAAAGAGTGGTTGTGCGTGGAAGAAAGTGCCTTGAAAAACGCACGCACTCTTACTTGAATAAAAGTATTTCTTTCTAAGTTTTCAAACAATAAGAGTAATCTACATCCGTGATAGATATCATTCAGTCATGCTATTATTTACTTATAATATCTCGCTTGTATTTATATAGATATAATAACTCTCAGAATATATGTAGCATGCACTAAAACAATACAATCTCGGTGCATCGGACTTAATTCATTTACTACTTTGTTGTTTTCCATCTGCAAATTCTATTTGCTTTTCCTTGATATTAATATCTATTTGTAGAATTATATTTCTAGCTTGAAAGAGATGAAGTTTAATAAATTGTACTAATTTTCTTTATGTTTTGAAAGTAATACGATATGATATACGTTTGGAAAAATAAATTAAAACGTTATTAGTACATTACTGTAGCGGCCAGCAATTGAGGCATTGATGGGCGAACGTGCAAATGTGGGCCGAGGCGTAGCCAAGGCACACATACGTGAGTCCATCAATGCCTAGTTGTGGCCAAGTCTTGTATAGTACTTTTCTCAAACAATGCGCGGAAATCAAAAACAATTTTACTTTTTAAGTTCAATGACGAATAACGAACAATAATAATTTTTCACGCGTCATAATGTTCTTTTGTTTTTTTTTTCAATAAACAGCTTTCTATTTGCAAACCAGTTCGAAATTTAAATAAAACCTTTTATTAGTTACCTCCTTGTTAGCCATGTTTCGAAGTAAAAGGTCATTCCATTTTTAAATTACAGGACAGATATGAGTTTACATAGTAATTTATCTGGCCGCAAAACACGACAGATATGGATTTTCATACAATTTTTGCCGGTCGCTGCCCGCATGTATCTGGCCAGTACGGCAATTTTGATTTATCTCGAAGAAGATTGTCAAAATAATGCTCCATTATCCAAGCATGTTTGAGAAAAATAAATTACCGACAAAAAATAAATTACCGAGAAAAATACGTTACAATTGGGTTAGTGAAAAACGTTTTCACTTAAAGATTATTTAAATATAAAATTTTAAGGACAAGTTTTAAATTAAATATTCGCACGCCACATGATCGAATGCAGAGATTCAGTGTTTAACATTAAATACTTTTAACAGGTTTTTTAGAGGTTACTAAACCTGTAGCTAGTTCTAGCAAATAAAGTTATTCATTTATTCATAATTTTAATGAAGTAATTTGTGATTTAATTAAAGCTTAATTAATTGTAACAATTAAATACATTGTAAAGAATGCTTTATGATACAGGGGGGAAGGGATTGTTATAATGGAGAGGTTAGTCCCCATTGCTATCAATATACCCTATCAGGTCGGCCTCCACGCGGTTCCCCCTGGTAACTATCGTGACTAATTTATTGTTGAATTCGTCACAATGTGCTAACTGACCTGCTTTTTCATCCTCACCTATCATCCCTCACTGGTACCCCGCCAGTGTATACCGATAGCGTAGGCGGAGTTACCATCCCATTTTCACCCATTAAAAAAATGCTTTATGATACATATTAGTTACTATATGTAGATAGGGATTGTTATTTTATTCTGTTTACTTAAAACTATGATGGACTATGTATGTAGTAATTTACATACGTACAAAGTCATTAACAGTACCGTAGTTAAAGGAATACTTTTTCAATATTAATTCTTTTAATCGTGCCTCCCATTAAATTGTTTATAATTACTCCTCTCCATCCAAAGGTTGCCTGGAAGAGATCGCTCTTAGCGATAAGGTCGCCCGTTGTTTTCACATTGTGATTATTTCTTGTAATTGTTTATAATTATAATAAGTTTACTGTTGTAATCTTTTGGAGGAAACAATAAAGAGTATCTATCTATCTATCTTTTGGAAATATCACGATTTCTTGAATTCATATTTGTATTTAAATACGTATAGTTATTGTCCAATAATCCACCTCAAAAGCATTTGTGTATAATGAAGGTAGTCTAGAATTCTTGCCATTAATTTGTAGTAAATATTAAACGATACATAGCTACCATGGTCACAGGCTGACCAGTATATTTATTAACCTTAATAACTCATTATCTCCTAATATTGCTGACCATTGGTCATTTTCCTGTAAGAGTAACATAGTTTACTATCATAATGCTTTGAAGGAGAGATTGTTAATAAAAGAAACTAAAAAGTCAGCTTCTATGCGATTACTCCTAGATGTTATCGTAGTTAACTTCTGGTCAATTCGTGCATCATTATAAATCGACTGATTTGACTATATCCTTACCTATCATCAGTCACTGGAATCCTGCCAGTATATACCAATAGCGCAGGCGGAGTTACCATTCCGTTTTCATCGCATAAAGAAATATTACCATGCTGGCTTTATATAGATTATTGTTTTAAGTTACCTTCTTTTAGTTCATCCTATGAGACGAAGTGAAGAGGATTTTATATGGGAATTAAAAACAAATAATCTTGTTAATTTTTAATTTATTAATTACCTTCTAATTTTTTTTACAAAATTAATCAATGGACTTACAATAACAATAAACGTAAAAATAGTAGTGAATGCTGTAGCAGTGTATGCTAAAGGTGAAGTGGCCCAACTTGTAAAGGAGTGTTTATTGAACCCGCAGCAGAGACTAGTGCTGGCGGCAGCGAAGGCAATGCTTCCAAAACAGATGTGACTTATTTTCGAGATGTTTCCTGGTATTACACTACGAAGCTCGTGTGAGTAGAGAGATGATAAACCGTTCACTAGAGACATGCATGTGAATACCAATGCTACAAGTGCTGGAAAGAAAAGATTTAAATATTACTGTAATAGTCCAAATTAAGACAATTTGTCATTATATAAATGTGTTAATTTAATATTAACATCTGTCTGAGGTTTTGCATTATTACATCACCCATTTAACAAAGATATCTACAGTCTAGATAATTTTATATAATAGACTGATCAAGCTATATAAACAAATAATCCGCTCGACTGATTTTAATAAAACATATTAAATTTGTCCTGTTTACAATTACTCTTCACCATACAAAAGTTACCTGGAAGAGATCGTTCTTAGAGCGATAAGGCCGTATATTTTTTTCTTAGTATAATATTTTCGTGTAATTGTTTGTATTTATAATAAGTTTATTATTGTAATCTTTTGGAGGAAACAATAAAGAGTATCTATGTATTTGCTCTTTTTAGGGCAAAGCAAAAAGCTGAGTTGTGGCCATTTTGCACTACTGTGGCACACGCATGAAGAAAAAAAAATTTATTATGCATTCTGATTTTGTTTTTGGTTTTTTTTTTTAATCTTTTGTACATGTATCTTTTTTATCTTTTTTCACTTTGCTTTTGTATCTTTTGCTGTTTGTGTGCTGTAAGTGATGCAAATAAATTATCTATCTATCTATTTATTTATCTATTGTTTGAGTGAAAGAAAAAAGACTGTTTTGTGTTATATTGCTTATTGGTGATAAAATTGTTTTTTTAAGTCCATACACTTTTAGTACAGTACATACTCTATATTTATGAAGTTTTAAACTTGATCTGAAACTTACCAAATTTACCGTGCAAACTATTCCAATGAGATGTTTTGTTTGCAAATTTAATGAAACTACCAGTAATGGCCAGAGCTGAGCCCACGATTTGCAATATCCAATGGGCGCGTTTCTTGTCTATAACTCTGTATGATGCTGTCCAGGAGTTATCGGGAGACAAACATAAAATAGCTTCCGCCATCAGTAACTGATACTGAAATGAATGACATTATTCATTGAAACATTTTATTAATAATAGGATAAAGAGAAAAAACAATTGACGTTTATTTAGATCTAGAAAAACATATTTATAATAATAATATTTATTACGATGTATTAAAACTAGTTTTTTAATATAATAATTTAAAATATTGTCAATGTGTATTCTAAAATTCTGACCAATGAAGATTTTTTTATATAACTTAGAATGATAAACAAGCTGACGGCCCACCTGATGGAAAGTGGTAACCGTCGCCTATAGACATGAGCAGTACCATGGACATAACAGAGTAAACTGTTTCGCCCATGATACTCCCCATGCGTTGCCATTCCTGAGGGCTCAGTTGTTATTCCTCTGTACCCTGTAAATTCACGCCATATTCTACCCTTCAAACCGAAACACGAATGAGAGGTACCCAAGCAATTGACTTTTGTACAAAGTCTCCCTCTGGTAATAGATTGCAAAATGATTTTTAATGAAACTCTTATTTTTACATATTATCATTTAGAGTAATTGATTTAAAATTAAAACTTACTCCGATAACACAGAGCACAATATGAATTGATGTTGCACTTAATGGTAGTCCATTTCTGAATCCAAACCATACACAAATACCAACTGTGGCTCCAATGAGAATGTGTGCTGTTAAGTTAGTAACAGATCTGACAATTTTTAATACGTAGTCACCACGAACTTCACCTGGATTCGCTGGAACCAATACAGTTATAGGTCTATGCGATCCTACACTAACATTTTCATCATCATTAGAAAATGATTCACTGTCACTTGAAGACATTTCGATATTTGTCTCTATTATTACTGATTTTTTGTTTAAATTCAATTAATTTGTAAGTATTAATGTACTAGCTCTGCCAAATAATATTATAATATATAAGGCAATTGATAAAATATCCATAGCTTTTAGTGTTATCAATACGCTTAGGCTTTTGTGTACAAAGCATTGTCAGTTGATAAAAGAAAAAATATCTATATATGATACGATAGAGTGTAATATAAGGACATTGTCGTTTTATTACAATTGGAAACTAAAATTTTTTGCATTGTTCACGATATCTTCAATAATTCTAAGTTGATATTTCTTTTTTTATGATAGGGTACTTCTGTACTGATCTCAAACAAATTTTATGAATACGATAGACGTTTGCATTTTATTGTATAGAAGTTCGATCGTTGTTTGTGTCCGTTGGATGGCTTGTAGAATTTGCTGCTTTTTGGAAGTCGATTAAAAATATATGCACAGTTAAAAACGTCTAGGAACATACCTTTTACAGTTTCCATTTCCATATGTTTATTATTACCAAGTAACATATTATCAATCTGCATTATGTTTTTACTATCTGATGATTTTAACCAGGAATATAATTATATACTGTGTGATAAGTATTGTTTGTATTTACCTTGATAATCATTACGAACTTCGTCATTCTTCTTGGATTGTTTTCTCCGAGAATAAGGCGTAAATGTTGACATTGTCTATACAATAATTATATTTATTTAAACAACAATTATTATGCACTTTTTTATTTGATCTTGTTAACTTAAAACACTGTTACATCATATTTTTAAATTCACTTTCCCTATTTCTTTTGTTTGTAGTTTGATAATTTTCACGTTCTGATAGGTCGTTTGTATTTGATATAAGATGTTATCAAATTTTATTTTTATCTATATAGCTGTGTTGTACTGTTTTAGTTACTGTTTATCATTACGTGTATAAAAAAATCAACAAGTAGTGTAATGTTTATTTATTAAAATTCAAGTTAAGTGATTTTGAATACTTTTGCTTTTTTTATACCACAAAGGTGGCAAACAAGTATACAGCCCGTCTGATGGTAAACGGTCACTGTAGTCTATGGACACCTGCAACATTAGGAGTGTTAATTGCACGTTGTTGACCCTAAAGAAACCTTAAAATATCCTTTTTGAAGAAACCCATTTTGTAGTGTCTAGGTTTTCTCTAGAGACTATAATTGGCAGGGAGGTCATATTAAAAAAATATACTTAGCTATTATTAAACTTAAAAATCTTTTTTATGTTTTAAAAAACATTTTGATGTTTTTTTTACACTACGTTATTTGTAATTATAAAAAAGAATAATGTTATTCTGTAAAAAAAGAATATAACAAAAATACTGACCTCAATTGTCACAAAATCAAAATTTAATATAAAATAACAGTACTACATGAGTAGGTATTTTTAGATTATCTATTTATCATGAAAAATTTAAGATTTTTATTATTTACATACATCAATGCTAGAAGTGAATGTAGTAATGAAAATAATTGTAATTCTTCCTAAGTGGAGGGTCAACCAGTTTCTGAAGAAGCATACATTGAACCTATAGCTTATGCTATGGGTTCAATGTATGCTTATGATATAGACGAGGTGGTGAAAGTGACAACTCCTATAAACATATGTGGAATTTAGAAGAAATTAAACGGGATTCGTAATCGTTTACTCAGTTCGTACGAATAGAGAGACGTCACACCATTTATCAGTGAGATTGTTGTACACATAAATGCAATCAACGCTGAAATAGAAAATAATATGTTTATTATTACGTCAAAGTTAATTGCTATTAATGACTTGGAAGGAGTAATTGAATTGCAGACAGAAACGCCTGATAAGATTCAATAGCAATAATAGTTTATTAGCATGAATAATTATTAATATAATAATAAGTTATGAGCAAGCTCAAATAGCTGTGTCATCCCGGCATAGAATAGGCAATCCTTTCCTTTCCCGTGGGTGTCGTAATAGGCGACTAAGGAATGGCAAGGAATGGGCAGCAGCGTCCTTTTTAAAACATCTCCAAACCCTAACTGCGGTTGCAAATCCACCTGTTAAGCATGGCAACTATCGACAAAACCTCCAAGGGGAGGCTTATGTTCAGCAGTGGACAGTTAAAGGCTGATATGATGATGATGATGGAGCTTAAATTTCAATATTGATGGACAATGAATAGTAATATATTATAGAATGAAAATAAATCGCGATTAAATTACATAAAATTATAGCTAACCTACCATATTTTCCATGTAAAGTCTTCCACATGTATTATTTAAGTGACATAATGATGTATTATATTATATATTGATCCCATTAATAAGGATCCAGTGTATGCGTAATTTTGTCCATTTTTGTTAGTAAATGTTTAAGAATTATCTGGAACTAGACAGAGATAAACTTGGCCATCAACACTTAATATTGAAAGTGAGAAACGCTTACTTATTGAAATAATCAATTAACATTTAGGTTATGTTGTATAAAACTTCGTAATGATTAAATATATCTATTTAAATTATATTGTATATTAATATAAAGATATTTCTGATTATCATTCAATCCAATTCTAATTTCTTTTTGTTGTTGCATTCGTTGCCAAAATACAGGAAGAAATAAAGGAAGACAGAGCCGATAAGCAGCAATACTATCGTAAATAGCAACAAGTATTATGAAGCAAAAGCAAAAGCAAGAAAACTTGGAAGAACGAAATGTATTGAATAAAAAAAGAGAGTATGACTATAGCCACAGATAATATAATACTATTGCTATAGCTAATCATGACAGGCAATATTATTAAATTATAAATGAAGCATTTTTAACACCTAATTAAAGGAATGCAACATGATTTATCAAAGATAGGGCATAGTATTAAAGAAAAATACTAAAAATGACTGCAAATAAAAATATTTTTACCTCAATAGTGTACAACAAAATATGCAAATTCATTGCTTCCGTAGGAATTCCTTAGAAATTTAGTAAATTTACACTGACAGTTGCACCAATAAGAACATGCGTCAGGAGATTACACGATAATTTGAACACTTTTAATTCATTGTTTTCTTTAGAATTAGATATTTCATTGTTGAATGTAATTTTTGTTAAAATATCTCTCGCGCCTTTTATTAAGACAAATGTCGGTTACGAGTGTGCGCGTATCAGAAATTGATTGTAACAAAAAATCGCTCTGAATTTTAATGCATTATAGATTAGAGATATCAGTGATTTACAGCATAAAGATTGATCTGTACGTTAACTAAAATATTTTTTGGTGTATTTTTTTCAAACTATTTTAGGAATTTATTATTATCGAAAGCTTCCTGAGTACGTATTTGTTTTTTGTATTACAGTTAAAATGTATAATTACTCCTACTAGATTCTTGTACATGATATTTGAATTCGGACATTATGGTATCAGTTTGCAGCAAAATATCATCGTCATTAACATATCAGCCATTAACTGCTACTGTAGAAAATAGGCCGCTCTCACAAGGGGCAGGCGAGTTGACAACCGCAGTTAGGTTTTTGGTTATATTTTAAGAGGAATGCTGCTCATCTCTCAACCATTAGTCATTGATTACTATGTATATCCTTGATTTTGTATAGAATTTTCGTAAACAATGAAACTGGTCTGGTTGTTATTAATTTTCTTTTAATATACATTATATTTATGGTTATGGATAATAATTTTCCAAGAATATTAATAAAAATCACTTAAAGAAATTAGAAACTAAAAGTTAGTTATTCGTTATTAATTTTCATTTTTTAAAGGGACTTACAAAAAAGGAGGACTTCCTTAATTCATCGAAACTCGAGACTTAAACAGTTTCTAATACGTCTATGGTAAGAACAAAAGTTAGCATTACACTAAACAGTAGGATTTGCACGTACAATGACGTGTTCGCAACTACGTCACCAATTCAGATTAGATTTTGATAATTCTTTTAACATTCAATAGGATTTATTTCTCTTGTTATTCTCGTATTGTTTGTCTAATTTATTTAAGTATAGTAGTCATGTTTTAAGTTTTGCTTACTTCGGAAATTAAATTGTGCTTTGTAATATGTCCAATTGTATATTTATGTCAATTAGCTATTGTTGATAGTACGGTATATGCGTCTATTATGAGGTATATTGCTTTCATATTCATACTCGTACATCTTCGCTTGCAGTCTAATTAGAAAACATATGTGAGGCACATTTTAATTAGAAATACATTAATAAATACATTTGAACATTCCTTTGAACTGTTCACCAAGATATTTAGATGAATTAATTAAAATTAAACATATTTGCATTTGAAAATAATTTTATTTTCTTATAAATAAATACTATTTACACAATTTTCATTTTAATTGGTAAAAATGCATTTTGATAATCTTTCTCTAATTTCAGTACAATTAAAACAATTCACATATTTCTAGATACAATTTAAATGGATGTAACACTAAGAAAATAATAATAATAAATAATTGATGTAGTGGAAAATTGTCTTTATTATTTAATTAAACAATATCTAGATGAGTATTTTATCATTATCTGTGCTTATAGTACTTGCCTTAACATTAGACAAATTTCAATAGATACTGTACTGTTATAACTCAACAAAATAAGTATGAATGATCTACAAAGATAAATAGCGACAGATGACACAGTATGAAGCGTTCCAGTGCTAAGTTACTATGATAGTACAGTAGCTATTTACCAAATTTCTCTCCACACAGATGATATTCTTGAGAGCGAAAACGTTATCATCTATAATACTGCTTATGTTAATGTTTTAAACTATTATCAATATAAATTTCAAATAACTCTGAATCGAGTTCTGTCCAGAGTTTAAGCAGGCTTCTTCTTGTTTTCTTTAGGCGAAATTTGACAGGCAAAGTGCATGGAGACATATTTAATTTCATGTCAGTCTAATAGTCACATGACAGATGATCCTTTTTTTATGCAAACTTAGAATATTATTCACAGGCTGTAGAGAGATTCTCATTTCTATGTTTATGAAAATAAGGAACATTTTTTCTCATTAGTTCTAAGTATGTTGTAGTTGCCTATAGTTATTTTATATAATAGAAACATTGCAATTGTCTTCAAGTACTTAGTGATTAACATTTACGAGTACAAGTAAGTCAACTAACACTTTGTCCATGTCAATTACCTTTAAAGTATCGAGTAATGCCTAATGTACCTGCGATGATGTATTTGGTGTACCTTTCATTCGAATCTGTTCAACCGTTTATACATGATTTATTAACAAAGATCCAAACACTAAATTTTATATTGATTATTCTAAATCAGAAGTAAGATCACTTACTAAACGAATCCTTAAGTTTCTTAAAGAACACAATCATAGGGTTAATTATAATGGTAAAGGTGAAGATGGCAGTGAAGACAATTGCGGTGACTGCTAATTTGGGATGGATCCAGTTCTTAAAGGAGTTTTTGTCGTAACCGTAACAGAGGGAGATGGAGGCCGCGACGAAGGCGACGACCCCGAACAAAATGTGCGGCACCTTGGACAAATTCGGTGGTAAACGGATGCGTTTGCTCAGCTCGAACGCATATAGAGACGACAGGCCGTTCACCAAGGAAGCGCATGTGAACACCAATGCCACGAGTGCTGAAATAGAAAATTGAATAAATAATTATAGTCGCGAGATAGAATAGAGGGCAAAAGAGGAAGAGGAAGACCGAGGATTAACTACATGAGACAGATAAAGGAAACACTAGGCGTCATATCGTATAGGGAGATAAAGGATATGGCCTGGGATAGAGCTGGCTAGAGGAAGATGCATGAATTAGTTGCACCGACAAGAGGAAACTCTTAAATGAAAAGAAGAATTATTGTCGCATTTGCAAATAAATTCTATAAAAAGCATAATTTAAACTTTTAAACTGTTTCCACAAGGAGCAGTTTCTTTTTCGTCTATATTTATTGGATTATTGAATGGTTATTTGATAAGATTATTTTATTTAATTCCACTACCATTAGTAAGTGTGTGATTGCTAACACTCGAAGATTGACTACCGCTATTTCATTCAGAAGTTCCACAACCTTCTATATTAGCCTTCAATTTCCGACTATCATTTTGTTCACGCACATTTTGCGATACGCGCTTCATATCTAAACGAGGCATCTTCAGATAAATTATCAGATCATTGCTCGGAGTCTAGTGTTAACCGTTTGAAACCGAATTTTCATTTTAGTCTATTAATATTTTCACGATTATTTTTAATTTTTTCTCAGTTGCATTTACAGGGCGAGTCTTTTTATAAGTGCACGATTTTACATTCTAAATATTTTAAATCTATACATTTAATTCATTTTTAAACAAGAATATGGAGATTGCTATTTTATTTATGAATTTTATTACCACTGCTAACTCACCTTTGTTGTATTCTATATAGTATAATATATTTATTAGGTAATTAGGTTTAGATAGAAGAGATCAATATATTACAATGTATATAAACATACAATGCTCAAAGTACAATGACTAACACACTTTAATTCACTTTTACGATAAAAATAGTTCATTGGTAATGATAAAAGGAATTAGAAGGAGACATATCATTTTATAATCTTTTTTGTTTATATAAGATATATTTAGAAAAAAGAGTCTAATCATATCTTTTAAAATATTTTATAAAGTGAATTATATTCATACTATTTTATTAAAATAAAAAATTCAATGACACTTTTTCATATCTGCCATATTTTGAAGAGGAAAATAAATCTATTTTTTTTTAAATGATTTAAAACTGTAAATTAAAGCTGATAATCTGATGGTAAGTGATAAATGTCGACTATAGACATAAGCAGTACCATGTACATCTTGGTCTGGTAAGTGGGACAGAGTAGTTTATCAGTATCTAAATTGGGCTCTGTGCAGCACTATCACCTGTGAACTTTAGTCGCAATCTATCGCGAGGGGCAATGTAGATGTTTGAAATAATAATAATAATTAATACCTACATGATTAATTCATAACGTATTATTAATTAAAGAGCGTCACACCCACTATTTAATTTTCAAATTAGGAATCCGTAGTTTTTTTTATAAGAAAGAAATACATAAGTAAAAATAATTAATTTTTATATTATTTTTGACCCGCATCTTTTTTCTTGTGACTAGGCGGTCTACAATGAAATGAAATTCCGATTTTTCGAATTCAATTTTGTGTTATTGTTCATACTGAAATCGGTCCAGTAAATGTAGTTTAACCTTCCGTTCGTCATAAATCCTACCATAAAATTACAAAGGAACGACATTTTAATATTTTCAAATTTGTGCTTTCATTTTTTCCCATTTGGTCCCGAAATTTCGGAAATCATTTCATGGGGGCCTACCTTACTCAGGTTATGTTGATTGGACGGGATAAAAAGTAGCCTATGTCGATTGATCCAAAACACTACGTGTATAGCAAATTTCGTAACTTTTATTGAACATTTAAGTTTCAATATAAGTTTAAGCTTTCAGATAACAAACAGACAGATTTACTTTTGTATACATAATATTAGCAAGTATTAAATGCTTATATTATGTATACAAAAATCATATATATATAAAAAAAATCATATGTATAAATGGTAAAAATATATGTAATAAATGGAATGTGGATGGTTGAAAGTGCAGAGGAAGACCCATAAAGAGATGGATGGACAGTATAGAAGCTGACATGGCCGGAATGGGAGTGACTAGTGAGATGTATGGAAGAGGTAAACTTATTACGACAAGATATGGGAAAAGGGCAGAAAGAAAAAGATACTATATGGAATACAGGATGTAGAGCTTAAGTATCGCTATTATTAGGACAATATTTAAAATGGGTATTTCATAATTTAATTATGATGTAATATTATTATTAAAAAATTAGAAATATAAGAATCTCATATAGAAATTGACATAATTTTTAGTAAATTTTTAGATTTTATTTGGTATTAATATAATATATACCAGAGGGAGACTTTGTACAAAAGTCAATTGCTTGGGTACCTCTGTCTAATTTGTGTTTCAACCGTGAAGCAGTTTTGTTTGCATGGCTGTGTTTCGGTTTGAAGGATGGGATATGGCGTGAATTTACAAGGTACAGAGGAATAACACCTGAGTCCTCAGGAATGGCAAATGGGGGGTATCCAGGGCGAAATAGTATACTCTGTTATGTCCACGGTACTGCTCATGTCTATAGGCGACGGTTATCACTTTCCATCAGGTGGGCCGTCAGCTTGTTTGCCATTCTAAGTAGTATAAAAAAAAAATTGATGTACGGAACGATTGGTTGGTGGGTTTTACACGCCTTAACCAATTTATTATTATTTTTTAATCCTAATATAAATAGATCTTGTCTTATTTAATGAGTATCTTTATATTATTAGTGACTAATGATAAGATAAGTAACAGTTTCGATATCGAACTTTTACGACCCAGTGCTGCTGTGTTACAGAGTTCAGTGTTGGATAAAATTGTGTCTTTAAAAATTAAAATACAAGGAAGCAAAATATACCGAAGAAGCATAATGCGAAATAAAATACTATGCCGAACCATCTGGCCAGCATACAAAAAGGGATTTTTAACCAATGATATTTTTGGTATGACATTAAATCTAATTATAGTAATCTATGAGGCTTTCTAAGCCATTTATGCACGTAATTTTTTACTCTACCATTCAAAGGCAAACAAGCTGATGGCCCACCTGATGGAAAGTGGTAACCGTCGCCTATAGACATGAGCAGTATCATGGACATAACGGAGTGTACTGTTTCGCCCATGATATCCCCCATACGTTACCATTCCTGAGGACTTAGGTGTTATTCCTCTGTACCCTGTAAATTCACGCCATATCTCATCCTTCAAACCGAAACACAGTGTTTTAATAGGGACGCTATTGCTCATCCGTCTACTACAACTTTTAAATTCCCTCAGTCGCCTCTTACAACATCCACGGGAAAGGATGGGATGGCCAAATCTATGCCGGGATCACACGGCGAAAATTAAATTTCCTGAACAATTATGATAATGAATAAATTCAAGTACTACTCACCGAATTGACCGTGTAAAGAATTCCAATGCACCGATTTAGTTTGAATGCCAATGGCGCTGCCCGCAATGGCTAGCCCCGATCCCATGACCTGGAGGACCCAATGTGCGCGTCTCCTGTCTACCAGCCTAAGGACGGTCGACCAGGAATTTTCCGGAGCCAGAGCGAGGAAGCCTTGCGCCATCAACAGTTGGTACTAGAAGTGTTAAAATTGCATCGATTACGTTTAAGTTGGAAAGGAAATCTGTAAATTCAAGGAAGCATATACATACACTATTATATTATATTATATTAAATAGCAATATTCAACTTTAAAAAGGAAAGATTCACGATTCGATGGTATTCTTAGGGTTTCGTGTTGAAATAATACAAAAAACATAACCGTTATAGTGCGACTTTGTCGGTCCACCCGTTCGTTCGTCTCGCATAATTATAAGGCACTGACATGTCCGTTTATTTCAGTAAAAAAAAATTGTGCCAATTTGAAATTTGGTATAGTTATTATTGCTGATCCATTTTAAGTACAGAAGTTTTTCTCGTCTGCTCCCACAAGTAGCATCCTTCTTTTTAAAGTAAATATAAATATCACATAACAATGGAAATATAAGGTTAAGGAAAGATCAATTTTCCCACGACTTAAGTCGTCGAAAAGTCAATTCTTTCGATTTAAAAACTAAACCACTGAACTGATTTTGATAAAATTTACATAAAACTTATCTGAAAATATATCTTTTTCGATAAAAAAATAATTTTCTAAATCGGTTTCTAACTGATGGAGTTATGAGGTAACGAACATAAAAAAAAAACACCATCGAATCTAGAACCACCTCCTTTTTTGAAGTCGCTCGAGAACAATGGATATACTTGCCCCGATGACGCACAAAACGATGTGTAAATTGATCTGACTAAGTGGTAAACCATTTCTGAACGCAAACAGTACTGTCACTCCGACGGTCGAACCAATCAGCGTATGTGTGAGAAGGTTGCTTGAGAGATTGAAGATTTTCAACTTGTAACTGCCATCAGAGAGGCTCTCTGTTGCCACCGTCATTTTGTTTATTTCCCCGCTCGGGTTACCGCTACGACAGACGATATACAAATGAGATACTGAAATATAGCACATGTATTTATAAAATTGATTGGCATACTGTTCGGAAATGTAGGCATCGCAGATTAAAGTTATCAAACGAGATTGCATTAATAGCTCTTCAACTGTACAACAGTAACAATCATTATTGATAAATCAATCACACGTAAGTTGATTAAATTTTCAAATATTGGGTGAATATATATGACACTAGCTTTCAAATCGTGACTTGGTCTGTGTAACCGGTATTTTTTTTATTAAGCGAGATAAAAAGTAGTCTATATTTTCTATATCGCATATAGTACGTGCATAACAAATTTCATAGTAATTGGTTAAGCCATAAGGCACTATAAGAAAACAAAATAATTTACAAATTTATAGTATTAGTAATATGTTTTTTTTTATGCAACTTACAATGACAAACAAGTTGACGGCCCATTTGATGGAAAGTGGTAACCGTCGCCTATAGACATGAGCAGTACCATGGACATAAAAGAGTATACTATTTCGCCCATGATACCCCCCTCCCCTGCCATTCCTGAAGACTCAGGTGTTATTCCACTGTACCCTGTAAAGTCACTGTCATATCTCACGCTTCAAACTGAAACACAGCCATGCAAACACAACTGCTTCACGGTAGAAACACGAATGTAACAGAGGTGTCCAAGCAAACGACTTTTGTACAAAGTCTCCCTCTGGTGTATTATAATAACTCTTTAATATCCCACTGTTGGACACAGGTCTCTTCATTAATTTACGAAAGGTGTCATGTCATGTGAACATAACAGAGTATACTGTTTCCTTAAGGTAGTGCATGGGGGAGGCCTATGTTCAGTAGTGGAGAGATGATGGCTGAAATGGTGATGATGATGATGAATGATGCACTCACAAACATGAACGAGATTTAGGTCCTAAAACAGTCGTCAGGATTGGTAAGGCGCTCTTGACACCCCTAATATGCAGACATCCAAAGGTTACAAGAATCGCATATCAAATTATTTATATGCTTATCACTTTCTTGGAATAAATATATATTTAAAATACCACGATTTTTTTTATACAACTTAGAATGGCAAACAAGCTGACGGCCCACTTGATGGAAAGTGGTAAACGTCGCCTATAGATATGAGCAGTGCCATGGACATAACAGAGTATACTGTTTCGCCCATGATACCACCCATGCGTTGTCATTCATGAAGACTCAGATGTTATTCCTTCGTACCCAGTAAATTTACGCTTCAAATCGAAACACAGCCATGCAAACACAACTGCTTTACGGTTGAAAGACGAATGGGACAGATGTACACAAGCAATCGACTTTTGTACAAAGTTTCCCACTGGTAAAATATTCGTAATACTCGAAAAGAATACTAATTTGAAATCCAGCGACAGTATCCTTGATATATATCATACCATACCATACCATAACAGTCTTTGACTACTGCTGAATATAGGATTTTCCCTTGGGGGGTTTTGCCAGTAGTTGCCACGCTTGGCGAGCGGATTGGCAACCGCAGTTAAGCTTTGGTGTTTTTAGAGGGCAGACGCTGCTGTCTATTGATATATGTTTATTCTACTCGTAAACTAAAATGTTTTGATTCTTAATGTGATCTACGATTTATCTCGTCTTCTATTGCCGCGTCCTATATACATACATACATATCTGTCACGCCTGTCTCCCATCAGGGTAGGCAGAAACAATGGAACGCCAAATGCTTCGATTCAAACAAATCTCTGCCGCGTTCTATTTGTTTTAAAATAAGAATCATGTGATTACATGTACAAAATATTAATTTTATCACGATTAAATAATGTTTCTGCCTACCTTAATGGGAGACAGGCGTGACAGATATGTATATATGTATCTAAGTAAATAATAGTTATATATTTTTATTGTTATGGGGATAACTTGTAATAATTGCCATGTGGTTTTGGGATAGATTTGTCTTTCTCTTCCTTTCCCGTACAGGATATAGTGATCAAGTAAAGAACTTAATGATTGAGGGACAGGCCGAAGCGTCCCTTTTAAATCATCATTAAAAGCCTAACTGCGGTTGCCAACCTGCTTGCCAAGCGTGGCAACTATTAGCAAAGTTCTAATAGAGGATGACCTATATTCAGCAGTGTACAATTAACGGCTGATATGACGACCACGATAATGATGATCTTGTAATACCATGACTAACGATCTCTGAGGATATTGTTCGGACTTATAAACAATTTCAGTTCAGTATAAACTTTCTTAACCATGTACAGTTAAAATTTCACAATATAATATATTATTGTTATTATATTTACAATTTTGACAATATTATTTATTATGGATTAAAAAACTAAAGTATCGTCAACCATCTGGACGAGTGGCGGTACTCCACTGCCTGTATTTCAAGCCACTTTCTTCCAACCAAGCACAACCACTTTTTGGAATCAACTTCCAGCAGCAGTATTTCCGAACCGATACGACATTATAATCTTTAAGAAAAGAGCATATTCCTTTTTAAAAGGCCGGCAGCACACCTGCAATGCCTTTGGTGTTAGCCACTTACCATCAGATGAGCCGCATGCTCGTTTCTTAGCTGTGTTATAAAAAAAAAGTATTAAAAAAAATATTAGCGACTGGATTTTAAAACAAAAAGAACTTAATTTTATACGTAAATTTTGAGCACGTGCACGGTTTATCAGTAAGAAGAAACACAGAGATAGTAAGTGTAATTAATTAGTTGTATGTTTATCTAAAAAAAATATTTGTATGATTACTTCGTACTTGGATTGTGTAAAACGAGGTGTATTTATCAGTATTTCATAATAAAGCCTGTAGAGTAAATAAATAGTACGTAAAGTAATCTACAATATAATAAAATTGTAACGTTACCAATGTCTGCACGTGAATTAGTCAACTGAGCTACAATAATAATACAATCAAAGCGTCTAGAAACTTTTGAAGCCAGAGGGCGCCACCGTCAAAAGTGTACTAAAACTAAATTGAGTAAAACCACATGATCAGGTGGACAGTTTCAGCAGCATCAACAAAGTTTTGTCAAATGAAATGGGTGGAATTTTTCTTAATGGGCATCCAGTTGGTTGGAAAATTATTACGGTTAATTCTTGGTGAATTTTATGGAAAAATTTACCTGACTACGTGCTCATCTATCATCCCTTACTGATAGTCCATCAGTATAGGCCAATAGCACAGGTGGAATACACAAACAACACAAACAAGTCAAATAAACACATATATACCATTAATAGATGATACCATTAAGAGACTACCGACAAAACTGTCTTTCAAAAAAACGTTCATGCTCATTTTTTTACTTTATCCGAGCTGTAAGTACTTTATATTAGTCTCAATTTCGTGTATAATATAGTATATGACATATATATGTAAGTATATTTGTTATTTATATATATATTTATTCGTTTATATATGTAGTTTTAGTATGTATGTATATCAATAATTACTAGTACCGCATTCGAGTATTCTGACACTTCCCTATGGTTGACTGGAAGAGAATGCTTTTAGCATTAAGTCCGCCATGTACACATATATGTACTAACAATTAAATAAATAAATATATATCTATTATAAAAATAAATAGCTACTCCAATATCGATATTTATATAAACATACTTCAATGTATACAATTATTATACACAAGTATTGTTTGTGTTAACCGTACTTCAAGGGAAACCACCGTAATCGTCAGGAAGTGTTAATTCAGTTCACAGTAGAGTTCTTTACACTGTGATAATATATTGAATCATAATTATCAACATTATTTGGGACAAGTATTATGTATGACGATTGCTATATTAACAAATTATTTTGTCTTTGACTTTTTTTTATACGTCTTAGAATGGCAAACAAGCTGACGGCCCACCTGATTGAAAGTGGTAATCGTCGCCTATAAACATGAGCAGTACCATGGATCTCTTTATATGTGAATTTTATTTAAAAAATAATAATACAGCCCTCTACATAAATGTATCTATATTTAAACTGATTCCGGATCTTATATTAATTTATTATGATAATAATAAATAGGTAAAATAATTATGTTTCATTAAATGTGCAAATCATTTTATGGCGATAAGTAAATGTAATTTATTAAATCGACTTTAGTCAGATATACAATTTGAATACCTATCACTTTAATGCAGTTGTGAATTAGTTATCAGTGTTCTGACCCTATTCCAAGGTATTTATAATTTTGAAGGCCGATACAGAGTTCATAAAATATATAAGTTCATTATGGGATCTCTATGGGATCTAACTTTAACTGTAATCGGAATCTACCAGAGGGAGACTTTGTACAAAAGTCGATTGCTTGGATATCTCTGTCCCATTCGTGATTCAACCGTGAAGCAGTTGTGTTTGCATGGCTGTGTTTCGGTTTGAAGGGTGGGATAGGACGTGAATTTACAGGGTACAGAGGAATAACACCTGAGTCCTCAGGAATGGCAACGCCAGCGGGGGTATCATGGGCGAAACAGTATACTCTGTATGTCCATGGTACTGCTCATGTCTATAGGCGACGGTTACCACTTTTCATCAGGTCTCCCGTCAGCTTGTTTGCCATTCTAAGTTGTATAAAAAAATCATAGAGAAGAGAACAGCCTTAACACATATAAGCGAGAGATACATACAATCAAGGACAAATAGTTGTCAACCATATCTTTGTTTTTGGCGATATCAATTCGGAGAGGGATTATTCATATCGCTTTATTCACGTGCCTAGTTTTAGCAATTAGCTATTATAGTAGAATTAGTTCATCTATTAATAACAAATAGAATTTTTAAGTAAGCAAAGGCTAAACAACAATTAGATATTATTCCTGTTTATATTCAGAATTTAGGTTCAGAAAGTTCATTATTTGTTATATTTAATAATATTGTTACCGATCTGTAGAATCAATAGGAAGTAGATCCATAGAAATAGAATGCAAGATGTTTTAATTGATTTGGGGGGCATCGATTTCTGTTTGTAATTC